CTTCTGAGAACAGCCACACCCTCCCTGGCAAAGTCCTAGCATGTCTCAGGCCTCGACCCCCAAAAATGGGGCTGTGGGAAAAGCCAAAGTCAGGGGCCTCAGTGGCAGTGGCTGCTTCTTGAGAAACAGGGTGGCATCTGGAAACCCATGGAGGAAGGCTGTGGGGTTGTGCATGCACTCACACACACACACACACACACACACACACACACGCTCACACCCCCATAACAGTTACACACAAGCCACTTGGGGTCCAGGGATGGACAGAAGCCCTCAAAGACCATTCCAACCTCAGACCAACAGGCTACATGTTCCTGCAAGTTCCTGCCTTCTCAGGAACATCATGGGTCACTGTGACCAGGAGGGCAAAAGGGTCTGCATCTTCCACAACCTCCGGCCTTCTTGAGGGCCTCCAAACAAAAGTGCAGGACCAAGGAGAGGCTGTCCATGTTCAGAACAGTTCCACCTAGAACAGTGCAATGAAAAATAATAAACTAGTCCCAGCCAGCCCTAGCTGTAAGAAGGTGCATTGCGATCCCAAAGGCAAGCAGTTTGAATCCACAAGGCAAGCTGTTCTGCGGGAGAAGGACAGGCAATCTCCTCCTGTGCAATTTACTGCCTCTGAAAACCTACTGGAGGATCAGGTCTGGACCGGTTCTGACTCCACAGCACACAGCAATCCAGACAAGGTTTTCCCAAGATCCAGGAAGCCCAGAGAACGGTACCCCCTCCTTCCATGCTCCACCAGGTCCTACAGCAGAGGTGGTTATACCTCATAATAGGACTGGGGATGAAGGGGTGATGGGTTCCCCCCAAATGGGGCTCTGCTCTCCCTCCCCAGAGACACAGACCAGCTCTCTCAAAGGGTAAAGACCAGGTTCCACCCAATTAAATTCAGTATCTCCTGGTAAATTCTCTACCTTCCCTCCCTCTCTCAGAACATACAGAGTCCTTCAGCCGAGGGCAGCATCCTCAGGTCAGAATGCAAGGTCAGACAGGTCTAAGGGGTCAACCCACCACAAAGGGAACAAAGCAAACTAACTCCCACCACCCTCTACCCTTCTCCAACCTCTCACACCCACCCCAACTCTGTCAGAGGGTGTCAGAGAGGCAGACACAGACACTTCCACCAGGGAGTGCCAGGAAGGACACCCAACACCATCAAGTCGAGTCCAACTCCTGCCCACCCTCTATCTGGTTCCTCAAACGGTAAATCTTTATGGGAGGAGACTGTCTACCTTCCTCCCATGGAGCAGCTGCCGAAGTCAAACTGTCAGCCTCTCAATAATATGACATATTACGTGCTAAGCCACCAGGACTCTGTGCTAGGAAGGAGGCTGCTGTGTGCTGTCGAGTCCGAACCAACTCCTGGCTAACCCTCCAGCAGGTTTTCAGAGGCAGTAAATCACATGGGAGGAGACTGCTCATCTTTCTCCCATGATGCAGCTGCTGGATTTGAACCTTGTGCCTTTGGGTGGGCAGTGATGCTCTCCTTACCCACAAGGCCACCAAAGCCTTCTAGAAAGGGTGTTTCTTCTTGTCATTATTGCCATCAAGTTGAAACCAACCCATAGTTGACCTCCGGTGGGTTTTCAGAGGCAGCTAATCTAACAGGAGATTATCACCACATTCTTCGGCAGAGTAGCTAGTGAATTTGAACTGCATGCCTTTGGGATTGCAGCTTGGTTTCTTACCACTTCGCCACCAGAGCTTCCTAGAAAGGATCCTGGGGTAAAAAAAGCTTAAAAACTAAAATAAGGAAGGAAAACCACAGAGAAGCATCTCGTAGGTTTTTTAGACCTAAAGCAGCCATGATGACCCAAATAGAGTTTCATGCAGGTAAAAAGATCATAACCTATTAAATTGCTTTTTATATTAGAAATATATATCTATATTAGAAATCTGTTTTGAGAACTTCCTCTTCAGTTACTTAGAAACTTCTGGCAAAATCCTTTAACTCAAAGAGCTGGCATGTGGCCTCTTGGGCATGCTAAAACACTAGAACCCCATCCACCACCACCCCCCAGAGCAGGGTTCCCAGAGTAGCCCCGAAAGTGACATGTAGAGAGCCTGTTCTATATCCGAGAATGTACTGAGACTTTAACAGATGAGCTCTTTTTGGTCTGATCAACTCTGATTATTTCCCTGGCCTTTTAAAAAATGAGGAAATTAGTTAAGTAGTCTAGCTGCTGGTGAGGGAAGGCGGGGGACATAAACTGTCCAGGCCCTCAGAGTTCAGGCCTTTCAACACTGCCCTGTCCCTTCTTCCCAAGAGGCCAGGCTGTGGGGGACGAGATCTGAGGGGCTGGCAGTCAACCCAAGATGGGCCTCCTTAGCCCAAGCCCGACTTCCTACACTCCACGGATGGCCTCACGAGTCGCCACTAAAGGGGGCTGGGGGCTTTCCCAGGCTCCATTTCTATGTTTCCTACACAGGGACCACCAGCATCCTTTCCATCCACCATCACTGCTGCCCGCTGACCCCCTACCAGGAGCAGGGACTTGCCTTCTCACTCTGCCCTTCACTTTAACCCTATGAAGGTGGTGATGTCACCTCCCCACTGGACAGAGGGGGCTTATGACAAATTAGCAGGTTTGGAATTTGAATCTTTCTGGAGAAATTACATACACATGCACTTGAGTCCCCAGCCACCTTCCTGAGTCTGCCACTACTGGCCGGGGTTGTGACAATGACTAACTGTCCCTTCAGCCACCTCCACAGGCTGAGGAGGGGACTCCTGTCTTCTTCAGCAGTACCCTCCCTTCTCCCCCTCCAGGCAAGGTGCCTGCTCACTGTCCCAACAGCACGTGCCAGGTGGGGTGAGGCAGGCCAGACAGCTCCAGAAAGCGCCACAGGCGTGGCCTGAGGACCTGGCCTATTTCACAGATTCCTCCCCACAAGCACCAGCCCTCCCTAAATTCCATAAATGACCCTGTCAGTGCATCCCAGGGAAGGAAGCCAGGTAGGTGGGGAAAGGTCTGGGTAGAGGAGATGACTTTGGACGAAGCTGATGAAGGCTCCCAACAGATCAAGTGGTAGCAAATCAAACCCTCTGAGAGATGCTATCCTTTGCTGCAGACAGACCCACCTGGCCCTTCAGACATGGCCAGCTCCGAGAAGGGTTCAGGAAACACAAGACATGCAAAGGCAGAGAACAAGAAAAGTCACTAACTTCACAGTAGCCCCTCCTCCTAACGCCTTGAGACTTGGTTAGGAGGAGATGGTTTTTGTTGTGTGCCATCAAGTCGGAATCAACCCACAGCTGACTCCCCAGTAGGTTTTCAGAGGCAGTAGGGAGCTCTGGTAGTTTAGTGGCAAGAAGCTGCACTGCAATCCCAAAGGCACACAGTTCGAGCTCACCAGCTGCTTCACAGGAGAAGGATGGATAATCTCCTCCTGTTTGATTAACTCCCTCTGAAAACCCACTGGAGGGTCAGCTATGGGTCGGTTCCAACTCAAGAGTTTGTACTTCCAACTCAAGAGTACACAACAACAACAACACCCAGGAGGAGACTGTCCATCCTTCTCTCGCCGGGCAGCGAATGAATTCAAACTGGTTGCCTTTGGGATTGCAGCACAGCTTCTTACCACCAGACCACCACAAGAGGAAGAGGAGGTGACTGCTGTGTGCCTCCCACCAGATACACTATCAACACAGTCTGCTCAGATTCACCAGGTGCTGGATGGCCAAGGACCAGAGAAGGGATGGAGTGAATGTGAGGAGAGGTAGGTACTTATTTTGAAAAAGGAAAGAGTTAAGGGATCCAGGGGAGTGTTTTCCACTTCACACCCTCTTCCTTGGGCTCTGTGAGCCAGGAAAGAGGGAGACTACAGGAAAGAGGTGGAGAAAAACAAAACAAGGGCCAAGCCACACCACATGACCCCACATTCAGTAACCAAACAGCAGGTCACGGGGAAAGAGCAAAAGAAGGAGGGGGGAAGAAAGAGGGGAGCATAGCGAGGCTGGACCCTGCCCTGTGACATCCCTGTTCACCATCCCCAGCCATGGAGGAGCCCCACCGATATCCTCCAAGGTCAGCTGCTTTCTCCCCAGATCCTTCTTGGCTTCGTGTGGGTCTTCCAGCAAACCTTCCTAAATATACTCAGTTGGTTGTTCCAAGCCTCAGGCAAACTTCTCCAGTACATCTCCCTACCGCAGCAACCCCCTGTCCCTGTCCACACAAGAACCAGTTAACCCTCTGAGCGGCCCACACAGCAAGATGTCAACCCTGGGGGGCTGGCTCCAGGTCTAGGGTGAGCCCCAAACAGGAAGCTGGGCTCCAAGTTTAAAGCCTTGATCTCTGCACAGGGAAGGACAAATGGGCCAAAATAAATGATCAAAAAGCCCATGGAGCTTTCCAAGTGGAAGTGACCAGGAGAGAGTCTGCAGCGGAGCATTAACCACCACACTGCCCCCACAGAGGGAGGGCAGGACTATTAAAGGCTGACTCAGTGTTTCCTTCCTCCACAGGGCCTGGAGGGGCAGGGTCCAGCCAGGCGTCTCTACATTCTTGAGGACGTCAGGGAAGCAGCACGAGGGATGCCCTCAGTAGCCTGTGAAGATATGCATGGGAGGGCTCTACCTCGCCTTGGCCCCCACCTCCCCTTCCCCTCCGTGTAAAACAGGGTCTCTATTCCTAGCCAGATGGGCGCCCCTCCCCTTTGAGCAAAAGGAGGGAGACCTTGAGGATTACAAATGGCCCTCAATTTTTCCTTACTGAGGTCTCCCTAGCCCAGAAGCCTTTGGTTCCCACTCCCAAACTTGGACAGTCCCCGCCAAGACCTCCCGCAGGTCTCCTAAAAGTCCACCATTGGTCAAGACAAATGGGGAGAGTCCCCCAAACGTAAAGGGTCAACTTGTCAGTTTATGCCCTTGAGCGCGAGGCGGGAGGTTAGGGGTAGGCCAAGATTCGGGGTCACGTTGCCCACTGCCCCGCCCAGGGAGTCGTCCAGCCGTTTGCGCGCCCCCTGCCCCGCCCCCACCGGCGCCCCTCACTCACTCGGTGTGCTGGGCGCGGCCGGCGGCGAACACCTCGTCCAGCGCCACCGTGGCCTGGCCCAGGAACTTGTCCACGCCGATGAGTGAGCGGTGCATGGTGGTGAGCACCAGCGCGCAGGCGGCGGTGGGGCCCGCGGCCCACGGCGCCGGGCCCGCGTCGCTCTCCTGCGCCCGCAGCAGGCCGTCCAGGGCGCCGGGCGGCAGCTCGAACGAGCACTCCTCGCGCCATTCCGGGCAGCCCGGTGTCTTCTCCACCACCGACGTGCTGTACTTCTCGCGGCCCAGCTGGATCACCGTGTACGCGTCGCTGGTGCTGCCCGCTGAGCTCTTGCCCCGCAGCCCTCGGGCCCGCAGCACCGTCACTTGGACGTGCGTGGGCAGCCAGCGAGAGGGCCCCGCCACCGGATCAGAGCCCCGTACCAGGGCCATGGCGGGGAGAGCGGCGGCGGACGAGGCCCGGCCGCGCGGGGCACGGGCACCGGGACCGAGCGAGGAATCCGGCAGTGGCCGAAGGCGGTCAGCAGCGGGCTCGCAGCGCCGGCCGCCAGCCC